AAATACAACTTTCAAATTTCTCTTAGTAATTTGTCTATGGCGTTTATAGCATGACTGGATGCCATGGTGCATTCATCAATAATGAGAAGTTGGGCCTTTTTAATAGTTTTAGCAACTTCACTGTTTATATCGAATCTAGAAATTGAAGTTTCATTTAATGGAATGGGTAATTTATATTTGGAATGAAAGGTGCTTCCACAGAGAAGTAAATTTGCAGCAATTCCTATAGACGCTGTGGGTAAAACAGTACCACCACGACCTCTAATATAATGTACTAAAACTTTATAAAGATAAGCCTCCACGCTCCGAGGGCCGTTTCCTGCCTCAAACCTCACCTCGAGGGAAATAGCTCAGGGAGGGCGCAGCCCTTGGCAAGGCGACCCAGGACTCAGTGCATCCATGCTCCGAGGGCTGGTTCCTGCCTAAACCTCGCCCTTATGGGAAACAGCTCGGGGAGGGTGCAGCTATTGCTAAGAGGACCCAGGACTCAGTGCGTCCACGCTTCAAGGGCCGGCCGGTTCCTGCCTCAAACCTCACCCTTGCAGGAAACAGCTCGGGGAAACAGCTTGGGGAGGGCACAGCCGTTGCCAAAATGACCCCTGCAGGAATGACTTCCTTCCCGTTGGTTGAGCCTCGGTTGTGATGCATTACACCAGGGTTTTTATATAAGAAGATGTTACATGTGGTTTTAAACCTGGGTATTTAATTAGAAACCTACCTTGTCCTTAGTGAATCCTCTGCTCATAGGCTGTTTCCCCAAAGTGTTTGCCTGAAATATATGATAGATAAGACATGAATCTATACTTCATTCAGAAGATAAAGACCACTGAGATAGTGAAGTGCCCAATATCTCATTTAGTAATTCTGTACCTAAAAACTCATCTCTCTCCACTCCATATAGTAACTGTACATACTGTTCATAAGAGTTGTTGGTTGTGAAACAAGTTTTTTTTTGACATAGCTTCTGAGATACAGATGAGAAAGTATTCCTTTGTTAATAACCAGCATTTACTAGTACTGAGAGAGCATCTATGCCTGTTATTATGGATATACTAGTAAGGGGCTCCTTCCCAAATTGAGGCTGTTTGGGTTTTCTGTGTTCCACTCTCTGATCTGCTCCATAGTGAGCCTCAGAGGAGGGAAGGAATGGGAAGATCTGTTTTCCAAGGCTGTTTCTTATCTGTGACAGCACTCAGATGGCAGATATCCTCAGCAGACTGTAGAGTTTTTTTAGTATTCAGTCTTAATATTTCTTCCATCAAATTAGACGTCCCCTCAAAAAAGGCCAAAAAACAACTGAAGGTGATTAATTTCTCTCTTAATCCACTATCTCGGATAAAGGCCACAGTCAGGAAATCCTATTTTGAACTGTTTCTGATAGTGGGCATGGGTTGTTCTGAGTGAGTCTTCCACTCAGTTTCTCAGTTCAAGATCATGCCTTTCAGAGGGAAGGAGTACAAGCTACACCTGGGATTTGAAGGTGAAAAACAATTTCTGCATAAAACCCTGCCTTTCATTACTCTGTACTTTAATATATCCAAACCTTTCATAAATTATGCCCATAGAACTCATACCCACAAATTAAACAAAAGACTGGTATAGGCAAACCTATTTGGGTACACTTTGGTCTTTTTCGTCAGACCTTTACACTGACAACGTTCTAATGTAGTCTTTCCTTTGTATGTAAACATACAAAAGATAATTGATTTCATTTTCTTACCACTCACCTTTATGTGTATTGTGAAAAAAAAAGAAACAAAACCCTCTATTTGCACACCTGCCTTCACTTTTCAATGACTAAGTCTGGTGTATTCTTTTTACACAATGTCTCTCCAGTTCATTCATTTCCATTTTTACTTACAGAAATAAAAAATTTAAACTTATTGCATTTTATCTAATCAAAGACACCACAGATTTGAAGAAGCACCATTATTTTATGTATTAGAAAATAATACAAATTAAACAATAACACTATACTTGTATTTCACTAGAGGCCCGATGCACAAAATTAGTGCAGTGCGGGAAGGGGGGGGTGTCTCCTCAGCCCAGCCTGCCCCCTTTCCCAGTCCAGGAACTCTCAGGAGTTGTCCTACTGATGGCTTATGAACAGGAGTCTCTAGTAACAGAGGTTAAAATCCTATGCTGTCCTTCCACGGCTTAGGCCCGCTCTCGGGAGGCAACTGGGCTGATCAGGGGAAGGTGCCATTCCCATCACCCCGCTGCTGCTGCTGCCACTGCCAGCTGCCGCAGCCGCCAAGGTGTTTTCATCAACACAGACTCCAGTCCCTTCACCATGAAAAAATGACAACTTTCTTTAGGCATTTTTAAGATGTGTCTTTCATAGGATATGACATTTCTTTCTTTTTTTTTTTATCCTCACCTGAGGATATGTTTCCATTGATTTTTAGAGAGCATGGAAGAGAGAGGGAAAGACAGAGAGAAACATCAATGTGAGAGGCACACTTCGATTGTTGCCTCCTGCATGAGCCCTGACCTGGGCCCTGGTCAGGGGGAGCCTGCAACCTAGGTACATGCCCTTGATCAGAATTGAACCCGGAACCTGCGGTCGGCAGGTCGAGGCTCTATCCACTAAGCCAAACTGGTTAGGGCAGGATATGACATTTCTTAGCCCCTCCAGCAGCCAACCTTCCTTTTTTCCTCCAGGAGTGAGGTGGAAAAACCCTAGATCACCTTCTTGGATTCTTATTACCCAAGCGAGTGGTGTACCGCAAGCTTAGCCAATGAGTGGTCAGAAAAGGTGTTTTCCTCTGCAGCTCCGGCACAGAGGCAAGACTGCTGGCACACCGCGGCCACGGGGCTGCTGGGGGCTGGACCCCTGTGCGGGTTTGTGTGTCTGCTCTGGCCCCAAAAGCCCAGCGCCGCAGCCTGTGGGTTTGTGTCTCTGCTCCGGCCCCCCTGTGTGTTGTTCTCTCAGGCTCCCGGCTAAAATCAATTTTAAGGCAATTTTGAAGATGTTAAAATGTGAAAAAAATGTGAACTTGAGAACCAGTGAAATAAGGTAATTAAAATTATAATTGAAACTATGTGCCCAAGTCTTAAGAGCACTTAGTAAGAAATTTAAATGAGTACATTACTACTCCCCCGCAGATGCTTTTGTAATCTGTGGAGACAACTTTTTTATCACAATAATTGACTGGATGGTGACACCTGCATTTATGGAGAGACAGGGATTCTAAATGAGCTGCAATTTACAGATGAGTTCTACATAATGAAGAACTTTCCCTCATCCTGGACAACTTTTCAGTGTCTAGCCAGACATCCTTGTAAGTGAAACACCTTTTTATAATGGCCTGGGCCTGAAATTTAACTGTTTCTTTCCTCCCTCGCTCCCTCCCTCCGTCCCTCGCTCCCCCCCACCCCCCGCCCCACTCCTTTTCACCTTCCTTCTTTTCCTTCCTTCTATTACCTGGGCCTGAAATATAACTCTGTTTTCTTTCCTTTCCTCTCTATTTTTTTTAAAACATGACTTTAATAAACACTAAATTTTTCAGAAACGCAATTACTATGTAACTTGAGAGAAGACTATATTGTGGAAATCCATTAGGGTCACTGATTACAACACTGCTCATGGTTTGGGAGTTCTTATAATTACCAACACAATACCCCTGCACCAGCCTGCTTCTGCTGCTTATGTCATTCACAGTGATTTCACATACAGGTAAAAGCCTCTGATGACTGTATTAGGTCATAGTTGTGCCCAAGAACTGACATATTAAAATATGAATTTTATTTAAAATACTTTCCTTTATTTTATAGTTAGGGCACTATATTGATATTTTCCCCTCTGAAACTATGTGTGTAGGTGGGTTATATTGTCTACATTTTATTTCAGGGTAGAAAAGGGAAATTTTTTAATAAAAAATTATTGCAAAAGAGGATGTTGGGTCTCATGTGACAGAAACCAATGACTCAAAGTAAAGACGAGGCTTTGGAAATGGAGTGATTAGCCTTCCTCTGAGTAACTAGATAAGAAAGACTGTACGTAAATATTTACCTAAGAGTTGCCATAATATAATGAAATCTTATTCTGCATCTTGTCATAAAGTTGAATTTCTAACTCTGTCTACAAAAGGGGGCAAAGAACTTTCCCATATAATATTGAGAGCTGATAATACAGTAAAGAACTATTATTAGCACTATAAGTTTATTATGGTAAATTATATTTGTTAAAATATTTGTAGTAGAGTTGTTTGTTCACATAAAGCTGTAAATTATATTTGTCATAGAAGGTTGAATTTGCTCCCCAACCTTACAATGATTAACCCACTAATTACTGCTCTGATTCTAATTAATCGCTTATTAAAACACTGGGTGGATTCGCTTAAAACTTAGGATACCCAAAGCAAAAAAAAAGTTATTCTCCAAGTAAAAGAAACATCTCTCATTTTAAAATACAATGTCAAATCCCAAATTCCCACTGTAACTACCTTATTTCAGACCACACAGCCCACAGCTAGACTACTGTACATTCTTCCTGGTTTTGGTTTCTCCCACTCCAACTAGTTTTGTGCATCATTCTAGATAAGTATTTTTCAAATCATAGGTTGAAGTCCTATTTAGTGGCCAAAGTTTTAAAAAGATAAAATAAGTAATAAGAGTACACTGCATGTAGCAAAAGCATTGTTTTATAAAAATTTTGTTTCAGTTACAATCATATACTTATTTGTGTACTGAATTACAGTGTAAAATATATTTCTTTCTGTGGGTCACGGTCAAAAAGTTGGAAAAGCGCTGCATTAGACTTTGCTATACACAGCTTTCAACAATGCTTTCCCCCAGCTTTGATTCTTATTTACGGATAAAAATAGCTATTAAACACTTTTTTGATGCCCTCTCTCTATAACCCACTGCCATGTGCGCCTTACTTTGATCACTCGACTTCATCCCTGGGAGCAGAGACTACCGTTCCCATCCTTCTATATCTCCATGACCACAGTGATGTGCCAGAAAGAGTAGGGTACCATTTATGGATGGAGACTGAGCTGAGTAGAGAGGGGCTCTGTTCCGTTCATCCAGCTAACCCATTAATGAGCCCAATTCCAGGAAACAGGTTGGGGTTGAGGGTGGAGAGCACTGGTGAGCCAATAACACAAAAAGGGACAGGTCTTACCTTCTGTTCCACACATTTGATAAAGTCTCCTTGCCTGGAGTGCCCCACGGGCTGCTTCCGAAACTCATTGCGCTTCTCTAGTCGAGACTCAAACGCAGCTGGATCAGACCTGATTAAAGGTAAGCCAGTTACACCACTGGGGCCTTTTCAGATTTGGAAAGAACAAGTAACATGTTGCATTTCTACAGAGAGGGGACACAGGTATTCAGAGGCTGAAGGATTTGCCTTCAGGTAGTTAGGCCTGAGCACACGCCTACAAATCAAAGTGGACAAAGTTGTCTAGTTTTTCAACTACTGTTAATCCTCAAGAGGCTGGTGTAACCTTTTTCTCCTGCAGAATATTTCCCAGGGTGGCGGAGACCTTGGCCCCTCAGGTACTTACACTCTGGGTACTTGGAATTCAAATTCTCAAGATGGGAAGGGGACTTTAAGGTCATCTTGCTGGGTCACCTCCTCAGTCAGAAATCTAAAAACATTCCTACCAGGTGTCAGGCTTTTACTTGAACACATCTAGTTCTTGCACATCTCCTCATGTTAAACATCTGTTTATTCAGATGTAGATGATTCAGAGGCTTTGGCCAACCTATTTTGCAGATTTAGCAAAGTGTCTGGGGCTGTCATCCTTGTTAATTCTTCAGGCTGTGTAGCCAATGATGGGATATTTGGCTCTGTACACTTTTGGTGAATACTCCAGCTCCTCAGCCATGAGACCTGTAGCGTCATGGATGGTATCTGTAAGATCCAAGCATGTCTTGCTCACCTCTCTGGTGGAAGCCTGGCTGGTCAAGGCACTATAGGGGAGTCTCTTCCATAAAACTCCTTTCCAGAGGTGATATTAACACCACTCCCCTCACTGCCATGTCCTGAGTGTACCTTTCCCTCTGTAGTTAGGCCAGCTCCTGGGTAGAGTGGCTCCAGTGGTCCTGCCCAGTGGGGTGTGGCAACTGCCCGGCCAGGGCCACAAGGACCAGAACCAGGGAGGCCATACCTGGGCCTCCCATGGTGCGTGGACAGACAGTGAGGGGTGGCTTAGGCAGTGAATCTGTGTCCTCCTGCCTTGGGCATCATTTATTATTAAAATGTTCTGAGCCTAAAGTTATCTCTGTATCTTTCATCCTCAGGAATAAGAGAAAATGTCTAATTCCTTTTATATGAGTGAAAATCACTATTATGTCACCCTTTATATTTATCTTTCCAGGTAAAATTTCTTCAGTTTTTTGAGACCCCTTTTCCTGTATGTGACTTGTGAATCTCTCCTCACTGTGGACCTGCTCTGTCCACACTCTAGATACAGTGGGCCTGGAGCTAGATCAAATCCTCCCAGTTCACCCGCGCAGAGTGTGATGTAAAACCCAGATTCTGGGCTGGAACAGAGTCAGCAGGGCACACAGCCTTGTCCTGCTGCTGGCTCACATCACACCTGTGGCCAGTACTCTAATAGCCCACGTTTTTGTGAGTATGACTCAGCACAAACCAATCAGGGCTGTAAGTCCCTTTAAAATATCTCATGATATCCTCCTCCGTGTTTGGTCCTGGGTCCTAAGGCCAGGCCCTATTTTGCCTCTTCCCTTAACTTGGCCCAGGTTCTACTGACTCTTTTTTGGCCCTGCTTCCATCTCCCTTTTCATCGACCTCAACCTTGTGGTCTTTTCCTTTTTGTATCCACACAGCTTTCCCTCCCATCTCCCAGACTTGTCTCTCAGCTGCTTCTAGAACAGTGGTGGCGAACCTATGACACGCGTGTCAGAGGTGACACTCGAACTCATTGTTTTGGTTGATTTTTCTTTGTTAAATGGCATTTAAATATATAAAATAAATATCAAAAATGTAAGTCTTTGTTTTACTATGGTGGCAAATATCAAAAAATTTCTATATGTGACACGGCACCAGAGTTAAGTTACGGTTTTTCAAAATGCTGACACGCCGAGCTCAAAAGGTTCGCCATCACTGTTCTAGAACTTGCCCTTTCTCCTTTTCATTCACTCAGCAAACTTTGTTATCCCTTGCTTGCTGCTTACCTTTCTGGGCTCTATGGATACAAACATAATTAAGACAGAGTCCCTACCTCAAGGAGCTTCTATCCAGACATGTAACTAAGTATAGTAAAATGCTATGGATATATGATGAAATTTTACTCAAACAGCCGCAAATGGTTTGAGGTGGTTTTATGCCCCTGTACCTTTGCTGCTCCCCTTACCTGGAATATCCCCCCCAACCCCATTCCTGTATTCCTTTGTGGTAACCCACAGTGCTCAAAGGGCGTTTTGGTAATAAAGCTAGGGAGACTAGGCTCACAGCCTAAGAGCTCGAAGGAATATGGACATTACCCAGAGGTCAGTGGAAAGTTCCCATAGCAGTATGTGTAAATGCTGATGGGAGTGATCTAGTGGAGAAGGAGAGTAAAACCAGTCATTCATTTGTCCATGGGTAAGAACGAAGACCAGTTGTGGAATATTCAGAGTATGAGTAGACAACTCTCCGGACATGCCTGTTTGTGAGAGAGATCAATGAGAAAAGGCTGAAGGGAAATGCAGGCCAAGAAAAGGTTTTAAAGAAGACAAATATGTGAGTATATCTGAATGATGTTTTAAGAAGAGCAAAAACAGTCATTCATTTATTCCATCATTCTTTCAGAAAGAGAAGAAAAGTCACCGTAGTAGCAATGAGATAGACTGGGATGGAGGGGTCCAAGACGCGTGGGGAAGGCTAGGGAGAGGATGACAGCGAAGGTGTCACCTATGCCAGGTGAAGACGACGGGGGATTAAATTAAGGTCGTGGAATGAGAGATGAGACCGAACTCAAAGAAGTTAACAGTATTTAGTCTTTGGTTTCCTCCCATAAGACAACTGTCTGCCCACCCTGCCAAATTCTCTCCTAGGCCCCTGTAATTTCCACCTTTGATCGCCTTTAGCTCTTCCACTTGACTCTTCAGACCCTACCATGGCCCCCATACACCCGCCTGAACGTCCTCTACCCCGAGTCCTTTCATCTGGAAGCTGAGGGGATGGTTAGGAACCCTGGGTTCCGGGACAGATGCAAGCCAACCAGCTGTGTGTTCTCGGGCAGGTCTCTTGCTCTCTCTGATTCTCAGCTTTCTCACCTTGGAGAGGGTTTACTCCCAGGCGTCAGCTGGGTCCGTATGTGACCGCGAGCAAGTCAAGTCCTTCTCCGGACGGCTCCCTTTTCCCATTTCTTTAAGGACGGGTGCCTTGGAGCTGCCCGCGGGGGAAAGGCTGTTGCAGACTGAGGACTAAGGCACCAAGGCGGACCCCGGAGAAAAAGCCAGGGCGTTGCGAGACGCTCAGCGCTACACTAGCTGTGGGGCACGAGGCAGTGATCTCCCTCTCTGAGCCTGGACGCGGCTCTGCGTGCGGACGGTGGCAGCGCCCACCTCGCAGGGCCCTGGGGAGCACTT